GCGGCCGTGCCCCATGTGCCGCTCCCCGCAGGACGAGGACGCGCTGCTGCGGGGGCTCTCGGTGCTCTGCAACGTGGCCAACCAGCTCTACTACCCCTGCGAGCACCTGGCGTGGGCCGCGGATATCGGCATCGTCCGCGCCGGCTCCCAGAAGTGGTGGACGCGGAGCACGGCGCTGTGGGGCTGTGCCCTGCTCCTGGGCATCCTCCGGTACGGCCCCGGGGGGCTGCAGCAGAGCTGGGGGAGGTGTTCTTCCTCACTGAAGCACTTAGTGCAAGAGGAAAAAAAACCCTCCTGTTGGGTGCTGTAAGAGAAATAACTCTGTTCTTTCTAGATCCCTGAGAATCTTGTTCCAGTTAAGAAGAAAACTGAGCCAGCAGAAGTGGTATGATTTCCCTCCGTGGCTGATCATGGAATGCCAGAATGGTTTGGGTTGGAAGGGATCTTAAAGCCCATCCAGTGCCACCTCTGCCATGGCCAGGGACACCTTCCACCATCCCAGGCTGCTCCAAGCCCCGTCCACCCTGGCCTTGGGCACTGCCAGGGATCCAGGGGCAGCCACAGCTGCTCTGGGCACCCTGTGCCAGGGCCTGCCCACCCTCGCAGGGAACAATTCCTGCCCAGTATCCCATCCAGCTCTGCCCTCTGGCAGTGGGAGCCATTTCTCCTTTTTCCTCTTCCCCCATGCCCTTTTCCAAAGTCCCTCTCCATCTTTCCTGTAACTCACCCACATCTGTCAATTTTCAGCTGTAGCCATCACAGTTATTAGGATATTCTGGACTGTCACTGATATCACCTTTTCTTCCAGCAGCACTTCTTCACCTCAGAGCCAGCAGAAGCTGAGAGCCCAGGTGAAGGCTGAAGTTTTAAGCATCCTCATGAACACAGCAGATCTCTCCAACGCAATCCACTGGCTGCCTCCAGGATTCCTCTGGGCAGGAAGGTTCCCTCCATGGTTGGTAGGACTCCTTGGGACCATCTCCTCCCTGATTGGAATCTACCAGGCATCAAGAGGAGCAAATTCTGAAGCTGCTTAAGCCATAACTGAGCTTCACAAGCCCAGTTTTCACACGGTAAAAGTGCCTTTAGTGAGGCAGGGTGTATTTTAAGATATCCCATAATTGGGACTGGAATCCAGATGCCTGTTGCAGAAGGGATTGTTTGCAGTTGACAATTTTTATCACTCTTCATCAGAGAAATAATTCTGAAAATCAAGAATCTCCTACAATGGGTAAATCTGAGGGGAAGACAGCTGCTTCCATCTGTCCCAAAAGATAAATGCAACCTCCCAGATTTTCTGCTACTTAAAAGAGCACAATGGCCACGGTTCTGTCACAGAGAACTGGTCAGGGATGAATCCTGAGAGTTCACACTCTGGGCTCGGTGCTTGGTGCTGCATCTGAGCCAGGGATGGGATCCCTGTTCTGGGGTTCTCCAGGTATTTTGGGCTTTGGGCTCAGAGCCCAGAGCTCAGACAGAGCAGGGGTGTTGTTTGTGACAGTTGTGTTTCTGTAGAGGCGAGGGGGACAGGAAATCGCCACTGGAAGCAGCGTGAACCTTCCTAGCCCGCCTTGCCCGTTTAAGGAGAAATGTTGGAAGTTGAGACTTCCCACAGAGCTGAGGCTCCAGCTGTGCCTTTGTGGAATGCCACCGGGTGGAGCTCTTCCACCAGGCTGTGGCAGCTGCTGTGGACTTTTTTTTTTAATTAAAAAAAAAAAATAGCAGGAAATTTATTAATCACGTTTCAAAGGAGCAATCAAACCAATGCCGAGATGGGGTTTGCAGTTACAGTTCTGGGCGTTGTCAATAATAAACGACACAAATGCTTCAGAGGTGGCCTTGAGTGAGCATTCCTCCTGATACCAGGGAGAAGTTTTTTATCTTTGGTTCTGGAAAGCTCCAAAGCATTAGTGCTGTGTGAGCTGCAGCTCCACTTGTGGCACCAGCCTTCCTCTTGCTGAAATAATTCCCAGCCCCTGCCTGACTGCAGGGAAATGCATTCTTTGCAAACAGTTCAGCTCAGTCTGCGTGTCCCTGCCCCCAGCTCGGCACAGGCTGCACTTCCAGGAGGTTTGACCTTGGCTTGTGTTGTTGTTTCTGGCCTGGACACGGGGAAACACTGGTCTTGCCTGTGTTCAAAGAGCAGAGTGAGGCCTGGATACTCTATCCTTTGTCCTGTCCTTGGTGTTTATCTGGACCTTCACCCTGCAGTGTCCCTGAGGATGCCTTCCTGGCTGTGCTGGGGATTTACTGCCTGACTGACAGGTTTTGGTACAACTCAAGGCTTACCTGGAGGAGACTCTTGTTATTTCTCTCCTTTTCTCAGTCCTGTGCCTGAACAGGGAGAGCACCCAAGTCCTTCTGCTTGGGGACAGCTCTGGCTGTTGCCTGATCCTGTCACCCACTGTGGTGGCTTCTGCTGCAGTTTAGTGTTTTTTAATAATAAATCAGATTTATTTTGTATTCTTAACCCCATTGAATCATTCCTCCAAGACTCGCTGTACTGGTCAGCATAGAACAAGGTGTAGCTCTGCCAATTAAAAAAAACCAAAACAAACCAAGAAACCCCACATAACTCCTGATGCTAAATTAATAAACCTCTTAACCATTCATTAATTTTAATGTAGAGAAAGGACATGGTAAAATGCTCTAGGTGTATTTGCTTCATCAATTCCTCAACAATTGACATTAATTTGCAGCGGGTAAAGCTGGAACATGCAGAGATAAATCAAAATTGGGTAATTCAGAATTGCTGGAATTTGTATTTTTTCTTGAGGAGGTTTTGATCCCTGCTGACACACAGTGTTTAAACACCTGTGGTGGCTGCTGCTGCCTCTCCAGGGCAGCACTCGCTCATTTTTAGCACAAGACCTTGTGCAAGCAGACTAAATCCTCCCAAAACTTGGCGTTTTCTTCTCTTTTCTGATGTGGCCATCTGCCCAACTCGTCTCTTGCTCCTGAGAGAGGGTGATGGTTCCTTCCCTTGGCGAGGCAAGCACCCTGCCCTGGTGCTGGCGGTGCAGCTGATGGGCCGGGCTCCACATCTCTCAGGTGGGCTCCATGCAGGAAAACATTTGCTGAGCAGGGCTGGTTTGTTCGGCCGCGACCTGCCTGTGTCAGCAGGCCGGGATCCAAAGGCCGCGGGCAGGCGCTGCTGATCCCAGCGCGGCTGCCCCGTTTATGGCCCTTTATGGCCGGGTGACTCGGTCCGCAAAGCTCCGCCGCGCTCGGGAGCCTCAGGTCCGCCGTCCCGGCCCCATGGCGCGGCTGGCCGCGGCTCGGGCCGCGCCGCGATGTTCGGACCGGGGGACACCGGGGATCACCGGGGGTCACCGGGGGTCACCGCACACGTGGGGAGGGGACACGGCCACGCTGCC